AAAGTTAATAAATGTGCGTATACAGATATTTAGTGAAAAACCTATATTTATTGCACTATTATATACACAATTTATTACATAATTCATTCTCTTGTTTACTATCGCACATCTAAATTTATTTATCAAAATCAGTTGCTACAATACAGGAATGATGCGAGGCACGACGTCCACGCCCGCACGCACGCACGCACGCACGCACGCACGCATATTCTCAACCAAAATTACGTATATAAATCTAATGTGTAACGTATGTATATGCATACTGAAAGAATCGCAAAATACTACTAAAATTATATATATGTTTGTAGATATCGTAGACACCTATTCAATACCAATAGTACAAATAATTCTGTGTCTTTCTATATACATATAAAAAGTCGCTTCATTACGTATATACATGTTAAATATGTACATATTCTTTTTGAGAAGAATACATGTAGTGTCCATCGTACTGATCTATACGGATATTGGATATAACGAACGTAGTGAAGAATGACTACTGTATTGACAATATATGTGTTACGTCCGTGTTCTGGACGAAAGATAATATCTCTCGTCAGGAGGAGGAGAACTCGGGTGGACGCACGGAACCTCTCCTGTTCTCGCGGAACGACGTCGTGATGCCGATCCGCGAGTCGAACGTGCGTTAAGGAGGCAGGGATCGGATCAGCGTCGGCGACGTTATTACCCTTGTCTGCGCCCGCGCTATCGGTGGTCCATTTTAGATCAGAGAACCGAATCTTTTTGACCAGGGATGGACCTAATGCGATCCTCAGGGAGCCGGGAACGGCACGGGGTCAAGTTTTAGGGGAGAAAAAAAATTTAAGACAGAATTCTGATTAACTAATTTAATAATAATAAATAAAAATGAATTACAATGTTCTGTGTGTGTACATCAAAAAGGGTTGAGGTATTCGTTACAAAAGAAAAATTTTATACATAAAAATTTGAAATATAGAAAATGGCCGCGGATAAGGAAAATCCGGATTTATATACCCAATTGTTCTAATTGGGGCAAAAAGTTGGTGATCGCGAGCATGTCTATGGGATCGGGTTGCAGGTGTGGCGGGGGATTAGGGTGCGCGGTACGGAAAGCCTTGATTGGGACGAGGTAGGGAAGAGATCACGGGAAATATACATAGGGACGGTATCAGTGATTTTGTGTTTGGAGATCTGGTCCCAAAATTGCTTGTCGGGTTTAAACTTTCTTTGGATAAAGAAGGTGCCAGGAGGTGGATGGGTGGGAGAGCGAGGAAATTGGCGGACGAGGTTAAAGAACTTCCCCATGTCGAAATTTTCTGGAGTACACTGGTTTTCGAATTCGGCCGCGGAGCGGAGGGCGGAGGCGTATTGATGCAGCGAGATGTTGGCTAGCCTCGGCTCTACTTCTATTAATTGCTCCGCGAGTTCTTCGGCGTGGCAGGTTTCGCGACGAATCCGCTTATTCGATTTCTCCCGACGGTGTCGCAATGCCCGTTTCGTTCATCCATTCCGGATGGCATTTGTTTGGTTCACTATATAAAAGAGAGTCAGATGAAAGAGAAATTCAGGAATCGAGATAAGGCAGCTTCCCCGAATCAATCGGCGGCTTGCCAGGTTGGAATGTTGTGGAATCGGGAGAGGCAGCTTCACCGAGTTAATCGACGGCTTGCCAGGTTAGAAGGTTGTGGAATAGAATGTTGTGGAATCGGGGGAGACAGCTTCACCGAGTTAATCGGCGGCTTGCCAATTTGGAATGTTGGAGTGTTTTTAATGAAATAAATAAGTAGAGGTCGCGAACCAAACTGCCAGTTACCGCGGGGAAAAAATGATAAAGTTGGACTTACTTTTGTTGTAGCGGCCGCTGGTGATGGTCAAGAAATGCAATGGCCAGGCTGGATCGTTGAATCACATGAAAATATAAGAATCGCGCACAGATTCTAACTGACTATTTCGGATGGTCCCGACCGTGAATGTAGCGATGAGAAGCAGGAAGAAGAGAGCGATCCGCTCCAAGTCGCGGTTTTTAAAGGGTTCCGGAGGGGTGGGAATATCTGAGGGCGTGATGGATTTCCGTGTTGGCTTGTCGAATGATAGTTTAGGAAAATTGTGAATATAGAGGAAGGAGGGGAGCGGTGTTCTGTGAATTGTTGTTTTTATATTTCCAGATTTCTCAGCGAATGATAGAATTAGTTAATAAAAATTTTCCCGCTAGTTCACACCCTCAATCGTTTATTGGTGTACCCGCCAACGGCCACTAATCGTTTCTTCTTGACTGGCGTTTTTTTTTGTGTTTCCCCACCAATTTGGGGAGTGTCACCCCCGAACGATCCAACGCGTTTCATATCCGTTAGGAATTTGCTTTTGTTAATATTAATTTTTATTGGTAAGTCATAAACTTGTCGGCGCCGACAAGGGTGTTTACCAAAAATTTTTTTTGATAGTGAGACATATCTCGAGAGAAAGTTTGTTTATTTAGGGTTTCTTTAGATCGTTCGAAGTGCTCCGTTTATGGGTTAGCAGCCGTTAATTTTTTTCTTCCCGAAAGAGAAGAATTCGTGAAGTCGCCCGGACGTAACACATGTTTACAATATATTCATGTGTTTCATTTATTTAGTAAAATAATAATGTAAAAATTAACATAATAGTGAACGGAATTAGTCATTTCGATAATATAGACTTTTCAAATTGTCGAGAATATCGATTTTTAATTGTCGA